AGGAAGTGGGAGTGGAGCGAGCCGGCCGCTGGGCGGGGACAGGGAGCGCTGGGAGCGGAGGCCAGGCTGTCGCAATCACATGGAGGAAGAGGAACAGGCTTGGCGGCCTGGCAGGGCGGGAGGGGGTGGCCGGGAAAGCACGTGAGGACAGCAGGCCCGGAACTGGCCGCCTCCCTTGGTGGGAAGCTAAAGGGAGAGAAGGGCTGCAGGGATGGGCCCAGCTGGTGGGAACGGGGCACAGGACCGAGGACTCTGCAGGCAGCCCTCCAGGAACAGGCGGATTTGGAGACAAAGCTGTGGACAGCCAGGTCGGGAAAATGGGAAGCCCTAGGGGCTCCTGAAGAGTGGAAACCCACGGCTACCCGGCAGATGCCGCGGCCCGGACCCAGAAACCCCACTTGGCAGGAGCCAGCGTGCCTGCCCTTCTCTGTGGCTTTCTAAGACAAGCTAGCCAGGGATAAGCGGCTGGACAGCTGGGCCTCCAGGCTGAGCAGGCCCAGTCCACACGGGGGTGGGCATGCCGCATGACCTTCAACTCCCAGGAGTGCAGCTGGCCGCCTGCCCCTGGCCCTGGGGCCTCCCTCTGGAGCAGAGTTGGGAGGATGTGCTGATGAATTCCCAATGATTGAGGCCAGCTGTGTTGGGGCTGGGCAGCCTCCTTCCAGCTTCCTCTCCCATGAGCCTTCAAATGCACCAAAGAGAGCCAAGTCCACCACACAGCAGAAGACAGGCTCGGGCTGCCAGGCACCTCTCAGGTTGCTCAGCCCTCTCCCACTGTCTTCCCAAATCCTATGAACAGCCCCTACCTCCCTGCCTGGCTGTCTGCTCTCCAAGTTGCCAGGCCATCTCCCACATGTGCTGGACAGTTCACGCAGCTAGCCCAGGCAGCTGCGCCCCAGGAGCTGCTGTCTGTATCCTGCTGCTTGTCACCTGCTTCTCAGCAGGCTGTGGGCTCCACAGTGGCCTGGACTTGATCTCGGAGCCTCGCAGGTCAGGCTTGGGGCATGTGCCTGGTACATCCTTAGCTGGTCCAATGGCAAACCAGCCAGGCTCAGCTCAGGCCAGCAACTAGGCTGCTTTCCTGCAACTTGTGGTGTCGCCTTTGGGGTGAGACTGACTGCTTCCCTCAGGACAGATCAGCTGGGTGCTGCCCGCAGGCTTCTCAGTCCTGTCCTTACCCTGGGGTTCCTGGTGGAGAAGCGTCTGGGATGAGATGGAGCAAAAGCTGAAGGGACCTTCTGGGAGGCGCTCTCCCTTCCCCAGGTGCTCCTGGATGTCCAGGGCTGTCGAGAGGGAAGAAATGTCCAAAGGGCTAGGGCTGGACTCACCCAGAGCTCACATGCTTGCAGGAAGCGGTGTAGAGATCCCTGTTCTCTTTCTTCTTTCTAATTTTTATTGTTGAAATTTCATGACATAATAGACAGGAGGAGAGGGGGTAATGTTGGGTCCTCCTCTGAGCTGTGGCCAGCCTTCTTCCATCACGGGCCCTTCCTGTGCACTGCGAAGCCCTCTTGATTATTTTGAGGCAAGTTTCAGAAAAAGTACACGAATCTCACACATACAGATTGGTAAAATTTTACTTTTGCCCACTCTTTTTTTTGGCTTTGGGGATTGAATTTGAGGCCTTCACACCAAGCTTTTAAATTTTTATTTAAATTTTGAAGCTAAGTTGCTTAGTTGAGCCTTCCTCCTGCTTCAGCCTCCCGGACCACATCTGTGTATTCTTGGGTATCCTTCCAGAACATTCTGACCCCCTGAAAGGTTGCTGCTTGCCCTTCCCAGGCACAGGTAGCACCTCTCAGCTCCTCTATGGCTCTGCTGGCTGAACTATGTGCTTCTTTCTGCTCCTAGTCCCTGCTTTCACTTCATCTCCTCAGGACTCTCTAGGCCCTAAGGAAAGAGCCCTTAGCTCTAGTTTTGATCCTGGCTCTGTCACTTTACCTCTGGTTCGCTTTTGTTGTGTAGCCCACGGCCTGTTTGCTAGCAGATCCGTGCTCCACCTTTTCCCTGCTCTGATCTGCATCTCTCCTGGGAACTACATTTCCCAGGCTCCCTCTGGTTGTGTGTGGGATCAGCCAATGGGAGGCGCTGGCGGATGACCAGTAGGTGGGGAAGGGAGGAAGTGGCCCTCTTTCCCACGCCGTGCTGTGGCATCACCTGAAGTTGGTTAGGTTTCTTCCTACACTCCCATCTCTCATTGGGTAGCCGCCATGGGTTAGTTCTGGCTTTACACCTGTGCAGGCTTCTTGGTCTACAATGCTCATTACCATGCTGTCTTTCCAGGCTCAGAGATGGTAGCTGCTTCTCGCTTGCTGTTTTCTGAGTTGCCTCAATGTCTCCTCTTGGCTTCTCAGCTTTTCTGTCACCCACATAACAATTCCCTTTACTTCCTCACCTCCTCTCCTCCTTCCTTCCTTTCTTCTCTTTCCTTTCTTTCTCCTTTCCTTCCCCCGCTTGCCTCTCCTCTCCTGTCATCCCCCCTTCTTTCTCTCTGCCCATCTCTCCTGTCTCTGTCTGTCTCTCTCTCCTAGGCACTGAACCCTGACCCTTGCCCTTGCTAGGGACTCTGTCACAGTGCCTTCCCCTTGGAGGTGGAGCCCCACAGCAGGGAGATCCAGAAACTCTTTGTGGGGGGCCTCGTCTCTCCTTCCTGCCCTTTCACTGGCTTTCCTGAAGATTGCCACCATCCTGTGTGCCCAGCAGAGCTGGGCTGTTGGCCTGTGTGAGGAGGGGCTGGCACAGCTCTTTCTGGGGGGTCGCTGAGAGGTCCTGCTTCCCACTGGCTCAGGGTTTTACTTTGGGTGGGGACTGTGCCTTACTCAGTTGTTCCCCCTGGGTGACTTTGTCTCCCAGAAGGCTCTTAGCAACCTCTGGACACGTTTTTGGTGCCATTACGCTGGAGGTGAAGAGCAGCTACCGAGCCAGAGAACAGTGATGGCAGGGGAGGCAAGGATGGGTGATCGGGTGACATTTTTGATCTCTAGTTTTCAAGGCTGAATTATTTTCAAGCAAGGTCTTACTTTTGGGGCCAGAGGTACTGTCCTCCAATGAAGAGGCCAAGGATGCTGCTAAACAGCCCATAGCACCCAGGGCAGCCCCCTTACTAAAGAAGGACTTTGCAGGAAGGTGAGCAGTGCTGAGGCTGTGGAACCCTGTCTTAACCAAAGGAATGGCCTCCAGGTGGGCAGACTAAGGGCAGCAGGGAGGGACACTCCAGTCTGTCACTGTGGCTTTATCCTCCGTAAGTGACAACCAGATGGCTGTCTTCCCCTGTACACCCTCAGTGTGGAGTGGCCAGCCAGCTCTCCTCATAGGACTACACAGGTGCATTTCACTGAGGAATTCATTTTTACCCTAGAAAGGATAGAGGCCGAAGAGAAAGAAGTGAAAGAAGCTTAGATGGATTAATAGACCACACATGAGTGGCTTACCCGAGGAAGCTGGGATGTGGGAATCAGGATGCTTTCTCAGGGCACATGCCTCTCTGTCCAAGAGGAATCCGGTGTCTTACCCAGGGTGCTGATTCTTTCTGCAGAATGGGGTGGCCAGCAGATGTGACCTCCAGTCCTCTAGCCAGCAAGGTGAAAAAACTGGGTCCCTGTCGTCCTTAGGGAACTCCTGACATGGCCCACAGGCCCACAAGGTTGAGCACATGTGTCGGGGTGGTGGTGCATGTATGAGGTCAGTAACCAGCAGTGAGATAGCTCCTGCCCAAGAGGGTGGCAGAGGAATTGCTCCTTCTTTCGGCCAGGGAGACCTCCAGCTCCTTCCCTTCGTCCCACTGGGGGTGCTCTGGCTCCAGTGCTCTCCCAGCAGCCTTTGCACATGACGGCCAACTGGGGGTGGAAGTGGCTGGTGCTGGGTTGGGGGAAGAAGGATGAGTTGGGCTCTGGGAGAGGCTGGGGACCCTGAGTAGTGGTCTATTTGGCCCCTGATCTCCCTCCTCTGAAGTTATGGTGGCAGAGCTGAGGGTGGCAAGATGGGGCTCTGTGCAGCTCAGGGAAGGTCCTCATGACCACTTGGCAGCCTCCCCTCCCCTCCCTGCTGCCCATCACTTTTCAGACTAGAGTGCTGGGGCCCAGAGAGGTGTGGTACTTTTCCAAAGTCACACAGCTCCAAAGCAAAAATGGAAATCACAAGGCGGGGATTTAGCTCAGTGGTTCCTCTGCCTGCCTTGCAAGCACAAGGACCCGAGTTTGATCTCTGGTACAAAAAAAAAAAGGAAATCATAAACTAATACCCATCACATGCTCCCCCAAGTCTGCAGAGGGGTACAAACTGATGTACAGATTTCAGTGTGTCCCCTGGGTCTCAGAAGAGGGAATGGAATGGGACAAAGGCAAGCCCTGTCTGTCTGTCCGCAGCGTGGCACAAGTATCTCTGTGCTTTATTTCTGCACTTGAAAAGATAATATTTAAAATACAGCTCTGATGAACGTTCGGGTCTCTGCTTTCTGTTTTGTTCTCATGCTCCAGGCTGGGCTCACAGTTCTCCTTGAGTCCTTGAGAGGAGAACTATTTGTCACACCGCCCTGAGCCCATGGTTGGCATCCAGGCATCCTCAAGTAAACAGAAAAGGCAGGGAGGCTTTCCGAGACCTCTGAGATCACATCTGTGGGCCAGGCAACCGTCTTCAGGGTGCTACTTTAAGGACCGGGCCTCTCTGGGGGAGTCTGGGACCTGCAAAGTTTTTCTCAGAGCCAGGGGACACATTCCAGTACTCAGAGAGCTTCTGGATCATGGCTCTGAGTGGACAGCGAACCCCTGCAGGAGAGGGGAGCACCATGGCCTCAGGTCTGTGGCTGCTCTGTCTCCCAAAGTGATGGCAGTCGTGCTAAGCTGAAGTTATAGTTTCTGTACAGATGCCCCCCAAAGCTTCTTTTGAGGAAGGTGACTGGATTATAGGGGCTATGGCTGCCTTGGCTAGGAGGTATGGCCTGGTTTGAAGAGGTGGATCCCTGGGGTGTGGCGAGCAGCTCCCCAGCTCCTCCTTTCCCCTGGCTTCCTAGCCCCCAAGACCTGAGCAGCTCTCCTTGGCCCAGGCCCTTCCACCATGCCATGGGCCATGCAAGGACTGAAACTTCTGCAACAGGGAGCTAAAAGAAACCTCTCCTTCTTCAAGTTGCAGGTGCTGGCGGATTTTGTCCCAGCAGACAAAAGCAGACTGAGGCAGCAGACAGTTCCTGAGGGGCAGAATTGCTAATTCTGTTTACAGCATTGCTGTCATTTTGTTGTGGAATGTCAGAAAACTGGCTTATTTGTGCCCTGTGGACAATGCAGAGTGAGCCAGCCTTCTGTCCTGAGGCAGTTTTCAGGAGCAGGTGTCAAGGTGAACAGCTGAACCAGTTTTGGAATCCGGGTTGACACCAGCTACAAGAAGCCACAAGTGTGGGCTGTACCAAGTCTGGAGGACCCTCCTCCATCTTCTTTGCAGGCAAACTGTTTTCTCCACCCAACAGAGATGTCACCATCCATGGGACCTTGTCTGGAAGGAAGTAGGTCTCTCCCCTCGGCTCCCACAGATGTGGTCCTGATCTCCACTCCTGCAGTGACCCCTGCACACCTGGCCCTGGGCTCCCGCTGGGTTTGTGTCTGTGGGTTCTGTGGGTCAGAGGGACCAGGAGGGCTCATACCAGCTGCAGGAAGAGCAGCGCCGCATTCCCAGCTCTGTGCCTCCCACAGGCCCAAGGGTGGCAGAGCTGCCATTGGCTGGGCGTGGACAGACCTGCCGTGTCCTGAGCCTGATTCTCCAGCCATTCCCTCTCCACCTGTCACTGTTCGCTGCCTCCATCTCTAGGCTCTTTGGGACCAGCTCTGGCCAGAAGTTTTAGAGAAACCAGAGCCCCGCCAGTTAGCTTTTCTCTCCTTCCAGGGCGCTGCAGACTGGGGTTGTGCACTGCACTAGTGCTGCATGGCCCTCTCTGCCCTCTCAGTGCCCACTGTCTGCCTTGCTTTAGGCTCCCTGTCTGTGCCCACAGTGCCCTGTCTGGCCCGATGCTACCTCCCGTGCCCACATTCCTACAACCCCGTGACCACAACAGGGGGCATTACACATTCTTGGCTTGGCAGCCAATGATGTAAAAAAGAACAGAATGTCCCTGGGCCTGCCCCGGTCCCCAGCTTCACCTGGGCCCCTCCTTGACCTGGGCGAGGCCAGGGGTGAGGAGTCTGGGTGAGGAGGAAGAGGCCGGTGGAAGAAAAGTATCCCCACTTCTATAAAGACCCCTTCTCCTTTCTCTGCAGGACCTGGGGCAAGGCTGACCCAGAGAGAGCCAAGAGGGGCCCAGGGAGGCTGCCCAGCCCCTGGAAGCCCGCTGTCTCCCTTCCCCATGTGGGTGTCTCCCTCCCCTTTACCCTCTTGCTCTCTTCTGCCTCTTCCACCCCATCCTCCTCTGTCCTTCTACCCTCTCTGCCCTCACTCTTCCCAGCTAGATGCCTGTCTTCCCTCCTCCTGGCTTGTCCTCCTTTCTGTGTTGCCTTCCTGGCTTGGTGTCCAGACTCCTTCTACCCATTCAAGCCCTCTGACCCTCACAGGACCTTCTGTCCCCAGTCCTGTGTCTGTCAGCTCCCATCAGGCCTGGCTCAGACTCTTGGTTCCCACTGGCTGGGCTCCCCTGTCCCTAGGAGCCCTCTACCCTTGGAGAGCTCCCAGCCTGGCTCCTCCTCTGCCCTCCCCCTGCCCTGCTCACCTTTAATTGAGATGCTAATGAGGCTTCGGTCGCTCCCATCCCAGCTGACAGGCGGGCCCCTGGGCTGCACCTGTCAGGTGAGGGGGAGGAGAGGTTGGCTGCCAGATTCAGCTGGAAAGGAACCAGTCCCAGCCCAGCCGCTCCCGGGAGTGGGGAGCTGGAGGGAGCTTCGTGTTGCCGGGCAGCGAGGGAGGCAGGACAGGGCTGGAGGCCGGGCAGGGACAAGAGGACCCAGCGGAGAGGGAGGCACGAGAGGAAGAGGGGCAGGATCAGAGGAGCTGGCACAGGGAGAGGCAGGCAAGGAAGGGAGGCGAGTGGCACCCACGGAGGAGCAGAGAGAGCAGAGGGCTGAGAGGCGGGAGCCAAGCCAGAGCCCTGCAGGAAGAGGGCCCAAGGGAGCGAGCACCGGGCAGTGAGCCTGCCGTGGAGTTCGAAGGGAGGTGCCAGACAGCAAAGGCAGCCTTATCTGGGGAGTAGAGGCCACTCCACTCCACGGAAGCCCAGCAGGCCCATTGGCCGACTCCGGCAGGTCAGCTGGCTCCTGGAGAGGCAGTGGCGGGAGGGTGTTTGGGCAGTGGGCTCAGCCTGGACGTGGGCATTGGCAGGGGCAGCTGCCCCTTGGGGTCAAGGCGGCAATGGGGGAGCTTGGCCATGACCATGACCAGACCCTCAACTCTCCCACCCACCTTAGGGCTCCATGAAGGGGGCTGAGCCCGAGGCACCAGGCCCTTCCCCGCCCCAGCCCGCCCAAGGGCTCACCAAGGGGGACAAGAGTGAGCAGCCAGGGCTGGACCCAGAGCCCGACACCCACTGGCAGCGCACGGAGGAGGAGGAGGCCCTGATTGAGTTCCACCGCTCTTACCACGAGCTCTTCCAGTTCTTCTGCAACAACACCACCATCCATGGTGCCATCCGCCTTGTGTGCTCTAAGCACAACCGCATGAAGACGGCCTTCTGGGCCGTGCTCTGGCTCTGCGCCTTTGGCATGATGTACTGGCAGTTCGGCCTGCTGTTTGGAGAGTACTTGAGCTACCCCGTCAGCCTCAGCATCAACCTGGACTCGGACAAGCTGGTCTTCCCCGCCATCACTGTCTGCACCCTCAACCCCTACAGGTCAGTCTGCCCGCACTGCCCACAGGGGCCGTTGGGCCTGGAGCCCTCAGCAGGCAGGCCCTGCATTGCTCCACCCTCCTGCAGACCCGGCCACTCCCCAGCCAGTGGAGCAGTCTTATCCTAGGTGTCCTAGAGAGTGGGTCGGGCCAGCAGTGCCCTCCCTGCCGCACCCCTGTCCCCACTGTGAGTGGGGAGAGCACTGGGGAGGTCCACAGACTCCCCGTCCAAAAGGACAGATTTGGGTGGCCTTGTCCTCCCTGAACAGAGGCCCAGAGGGAGGGCATGACCCTAGCGGCCGAGGCCCTGAGGCCCTGGGCTCAGTCGCAGCACACACATGAGTCTGATGGAAAGGAAGAGCCAGGTGGGGTGAGGTGAGGAGCAAGGGTGCCAGGGGTCAGGGCGAGTCTGGGCTTGGTGCTGAAAGCAACATGGTGGGCGCCAGAGGTCAGGGTTGCAAAGCCAGCCTTGGGGTGGGGCACAGAGCCCTAGGGAGGACGGGGCACGTGTGCCCCACAGACCGAGGCTGCTTGCTGGGCTGCTGTTCACCTGCCCAGGTGCCTGACCTTTCAGGGCTTGGGTGTGTCCTGCAGTTTTGGGTTTCAGCAGTGCTCTTTGCCAGTCCGGGTTGGGAAGCAGAGGGGGCGGTGACCTTGGAGAGGAGAGGAGAGGAGGCGGCTGGTGTTTATTCAGACCTTTTATTTGTATTCACTCAGTCAGCGCCACGCCTTGGGGACACTTGCATCACCAACACAGTGCTGGGCACAGGGTAAAGGTATCTACTAACAACCGAACAACCTTTACTGAAGGCCAGGGACTTTTCCGGGTATTGGGAACAGAAAGCTAAAATTAGAAGGAAGGATATAAATTCATAACAGCAGCACACCGTGAGAAGCATAATCAAAATGTGTGAGTGTAAGTCCTTTAATGAGTGTTCTTGGAGTGTGAGTGTGCATGGGCACACCCACGGGGAATGCGTGCGACTGTGGGTGATTGGTATGGTCACACGCCTGGGGTGGAGGCCTTCTGATGTGTCATGGACCAAAGGGCTGGGACTCTGTTGAGGAGAGGAGAGGAGAGGAGAGGAGAGCTGCTCCCATTCGCTGTCCAGGGCAGGGTGCTGGTGGCTGGGAAGCTGCTGTGGCACCCGACACCGCAAGGACTCTACAGCCAGCCTAGTGGTTTTCCCAGGATCCCTTGAGGCAAGAGCTAGTGCGGTTCCTGGTCTACAGGCTAAGAAACTGAGGCAAGAAGAAACAAGTCACAGGGTCACAGAGACAGTGCCTGAACCTTGACTCATCTTGTTTGGCTGATCCTGAAATGCCTGGGCTTTTAATTCCAGATGTGGGACTGGGAATGGATGACTTCCAAGGAGATGCTGTTTACAGTTCCTTACAGCCCTCTCTGCTGCCTTCTGGGTCCCCACTCCTGCAGGTCCCTCCCTCATCTCCTTAGACCAAGTTGGAGGGTGGGAGCAGAACAGGAAGGGGAGGGAGGGCAGGGTGGCAGGCACTACGTAAATATTTGTAGTTGTAAAGATGCTCAGATATGGAGAGGGTACAGTGTGCAGGGCCCTGGAAAGGCGGGGAAGCTAAAGCCCCAGGGAATGGAAACCGAGGTCCCGGGGTTGGAAGGCAGTGTCCACTGCTGCAGGATTTAGGGAGAGAGAGGGAGCCAGGGAAGGCTCCCAAACACAGGTGCAGCAGACCACCCACCTCCTCTGTGATTGATCCGGTGCTAGGAGCTCACCTGGCCCTGCCGCGGGCTGTGGGCATTTTAAACATTTTTCCATTTTACCTCAGCTGAGCACAGAGGTTCTCCAGGGTGAAACTGAGCAAGGCACACAGCCAATAATAAAACAATCATAGGTAACACATACACACACTCACACACTCAACAGCACAGTATTTCCAAATAAATCTACATCTGAACTAAATATTATTGAATTATTTAATCCTTACAACAGACCTCGGACAGTCCTATTTTATAGATGGGAAAACTGAGGCCCAGAGAGTTGAGTACAATCACCTGAGTTCAGAAAGGGCTGGGGATGTAACTCGGTGCTCCCCAGTACCTATCTCTCCATCTAAGAACAGCCTGTGCACCCCAGAGTAGCAGCCAGTCACAGACCAAGTATGTGTGACACCCAAGTCCTCCTGTCACACTTGCAGAGGAAGCCACCCCGGCTTCCAGGGTTAGGGCCTCTGCTGGTACCGGTGAGGGGGAGGCTGGTGCGTGGACAGCCGAATGGCCTGGGTGTGAATCACAGAGGCGGGGCAGAGGCAGGGAGCCCAGTGGCTTCTCCAGGGAGGAACAGGAGCTGCAGGAGTCAGTGCAGGAGCCCACCATGGGTCCACCTGCTGAGAGACACAGCCAGCAGAGGGAGAGAAGGTGGCCCTAGTCTAGTAAGTGTGGTACACATACCTGTAATCCCAGGGCTCTGGAAGGCTGAGGTGGGAGGATCACAAGGTTGAACCCAGCCTGACAGCTTAATAATTTAGCAAGATCTGGTCTCAAATTAAACCTGAAAAGCCTGGGGATGTAGCTCAGTGTGAAGGCCTGGGCTCAGCCCCTGGACGGTAGGGCCCGGTAGTGGTCCTGTGTGCTGAGCTTGTGTGGCTTCATCATCTCCGGGAGAGGGGAAAAAGGCTGTCGAGCTGTCCGACTAAGCATGGAGGTGCTAAGGATCCAGTGTGCAGGGCCAGCCACGGTGGGGCCACTCTTTCTGGTCTTGACCCCAAAGAGCAGGACGGTCAAGCTATCCCTAGAAAGTGGAGACATATTTCCATCTAGGCCCCTCATCGTCTTCTATCCCTAGGTGGCAGGGTGGGGCTGTTGGGGGCAAGGAGAGAGGCCACCCCCAAAGGGAAGCCGGAGCCTCGTGCCCTCACTCCGTCTGGACCCCTGCCTGGCAGTGCCTGGCAGAGCCCAGCCTGGCACAGTGGCCCCACCCTGGTGCTGGGCCTTCCAGCCTCGGTGGCAGAGCTGTAGTTTATCTCCCTGTGACAGCTCCCTCCTGGGCCTGGTTCTATGTCTGTGGGGCCAATGGGAGAGGTGACCTCCTGCCCTGCCCAGTGCTGCCCGTTCTGGTGCAGCTGCGGCCCCTCGTATTCTGATCACCCCACTGACGTCTTGGGCAGCGAGGCCTGGTGCCCCATTTGGGAGGAGAAAACCGGAAGGCGCTACAGAAGCTGCCTAGGCGCTGAGTGAAGTCTGAACCGGAATCTGGGTCTTCAGATCCACTTCTATTAAGACCACAGGTCACGTGGTAGCTGGGTAGCAGAGGGCTGCTGTGACCCCTTGGCTTTTCTTCTCTGCGGAGTAACAGCAATAACAGCGCCGTTTCACCTAGCAGTGGCAGTGTGAAGACCCCACTCTGCCAGCGCCGTGTGCAGCCTTCTCACTCAGACTGACTCACTCAGCCACAAGGACATGGTGCTATTGTTTCTGCCATTTCGCAGATGGTTAAAGAGGAGGTACAAAGAATATTAAGTGACTTGTTAGAAGCCGCCCTGCTCCTTAGTGCTGAGGGTCAGATATGAGCCTAGAAAGCTAATAAGAACTTGATTCCTTTAACTTTTTCCTCAAACGAATGATTTATAGACCTCACCACCCCAGCAGTCCATCCTCTGAACAGTTGTTGGCTTGTAAGCATCTTTTGGTCTTAAAATGTGGCTGCAGTGGGATGGCACACACCTGTAATCCTAGCACTTGAGAGGCTGAGGCAGTTGGAGCCCAGCCTGGCAACTTAGTGAGACACTGTCTCGAAATAAAAAGTGGAAAAGAGCTGGGGATGTAGCTCAATGTGAAGGCCCTGGATTCAATCCCAGGACCAAACTCCATGTGTGGTCTGAGAGTTCAGAACCACTTGAAGGGTGATCCGTGTCCAGGGCACTTGCAGGGCACCTGGCATGAACACCTTGGGGTGTAGGCTGGGCTTGGAGGGGCCCTGTGGGGTGGGGTCTCCACTGGGGCTCAGAGCCCCCTGGGAGTTAAGACTGGAGGTGCTGAGGGGTGTGGGGAAGAATGGGGGTGGGGCAGAGAATGTAGAAAGAAAAGGGGAGGCTTCTAGGTAGGCAGGAGGCTGGCGTGTTTCCTGTGCCCGGCTCTGCCTGGAACACAGCACTGCTGGGAGAGAATATTCCTGCAGGGGTCCCTGGGTGGGGAGGATGGGAGCCTAGGCAAGTTCCCAGGCTGCCAGGATGGGCTTGGGCTTTGCTGTGAGGGGAACTCCCTGAGGGGTAAGAGGAAGGAGAAGGAGGAGACACAGGTTGGAAGAGAACAGGGCGTCAGCCCTAGACCCTCTAGGACCCCTGCACCCTGCCCTTCACAGAGAAGGGGGACTGGAGGGGAGGTGGCCAGCAACAGGGACAGCAGTTAAGTGCCTCAAAGCTGGAGGCAGCAGTGGAACAATCAGGGGCCGTGCAGTCCGATCAGCCTGGGTTCAAATCCTGGCCCCGGTAGGTACTTCCTTGCTGAGTGATCTGGGAAGTTGCACCCTGATTTACTGGGCTGTGGAGTACAGAGAGGAATGCCTGGCTTGTGGAGTTGTTCAAGGGTTCAGGCCCCTAGACAGGCTGCATCCGGGCAGACAGGATGAGGGCAGCATCGTGGCCTGGGCAGGAGGTGGAGGTTAGAAGGGCCAGTGGGCTTGCTCGAGGTGGGCTTGCCTATGGCAGGCATTCTTCATGTGGGCTGGACCAGAGCTTTCACACTGAGCTACATCCCCAGTCCTTTTTTTTTTTTTAATTGAATTTATTGGTACATTCTAGGTAGACAGTACACTTACATTCATTATTGGGATCTTGTACCTTTACATGCCAGGTCTTGGTTCTCATTTTTTCCCCTTGTCCCCACCCTCCCTTCACCTCCTCCTCCCCTCCCCACCTTCAAACACTTTTAATTCCATTTTTACATTTTCTCATATTTTTTTCCTTTTCCCTTATTCCCCTTTCCCTATCCTTCTCACTGTCCCTATACCTTTGGTCCTTTTCTTCCTATTTCATATTGCTAATTGCCCCATTAGGATCTTGAGTACTATTTTAGTTTTTCACACCAGAGAAACTATTCAGTATTTGCATATGTGTGACTTATTTATTTCACTTAGGAGTATATCCTCAAAATGTACCCGTTTACCTATGAATGAATCTACTTTCTCATTCTTTATGGCTAAGTAGTATTCCATTTTATAGAAAAAGCACATCTTCTTTATCCAGTTTCCCAGTCCTTTTTTATAGTTTGAGACATGGTCCGCTAATTTGCTAAACTTCCCAGGCTGGGCTTCAACTTGCAATCCTCCTGCCTCAGCCTCCCAGAGTGCTGGCATCACAGGGGAGCTCCACCATGCCAGGCCCACGGTAGGCCTTCTTGATCCCTTCTTTCTAGCACTCAGTCTCCTCAGGACAAGAGGTGAGTCTTTGGTGTATTTTGTTTAGTGATCAATTTTCTTAATTTCAGTGCCAGCTCACAGGCCCTGCCTCCCATTGGAGGAATCCTGGGTCCGAGGATTTAGGGAAGGAGAGATTTCTTTGTTGAAAAGGGGGAGAGGTGACCTTGGGGGTTGAGGGAGTCTTGTGCAGAGCTTCTTTGTGGTGAGGGGACCGGCTGTGCTGGGCATGTGCTTCTCAGGTCCTCCCTGGGAGAGGCAGGAACCCTGCGGGGAGCCTGCCCAGAGACAGTGGGGGCTCTGTGGGGAGAGCAGTGTGGCCAGAGGAGGGACAGCTGGGCATTGGAGATGGGCGAGAGGGAGGCATAGGGGGCAGCAGAGGGGCAGGAGGGGTGGAGAGGTTGTGGCTCGTGCCCCGGAAATAATTCCAACCCAGCTGGACACTGGGATGCTTCCTGTGTAACCTCGAGTTACACCCCACTTTCCTGGCCTCAGCCCTGCCTGTGTCTCTCTGGTCTCTTCACTTTGTGAACCTAAATATCTGCTCACTGAGCTTCTCAGGAGCTTGTGTGAGGGCAGCTCTAGTGCTGAACCCAGGTTGCAAATGAGGAGCTGAGACCACGGCACATTGTAAAGCTGGGACACCAGGATCCATGTCCTGCTTCTCTGGCTCTGTGGACTCTCTGAAGCGCGAGGGTAGGAGCACGTCCCATCGCTCCTGACTGCTGTCTGGAGCAAGGGCCCGCAGCTCAGGTTAAGTGAGGCACATTCCAACTGTGCCGCCTGGCTCTCCTGGTGGGCGCTCAGGGAGGACCCGCTGTTACTATGTCTTCTGAATCAAACACACCCCTCGGACTGGCCAGAGCGCTCTTCTCCTATGAGTGCATGAGGGGAAGTTGCAAGTTCTAGCCCGGCCCTCTCTGGCTTTAGAGGGCTAAGTGTCAGCCAGCCAGACATGTAGGGTGGGGCCGGAGGGGCCACATGGGCTGGGTGGAAGACCTGGAACAGTAGTTACGTGTGTGCACTTGTGGGCCAAGTGGAGGTCTTGGCCCAACGTCACCAGTGAACTTGTTCTGTTCCCAGATTTCATATAAATGCAACCACAGGACCTGTATTCCCTTGTATGTGTTACAATACCACATTTTCTGTTTTCCCAGTGGAACAGAATCAGTGCTTTGCTCAAGAATGAACACATTCTCTGTGTGGGCTCATTTTCTGGACTCCTGCTCTCTGATTCATCGGTTATCTTTTCCAAGAACCACTCTGTTTTGGTTACTGTGGTTTTAGAGCAAATACTAGAGTCAGGTAGTATAAGTCCTCTCCTCCCCCTCTTTTTTGTGGTACTGGAGATTGAAACCAGGAAGCCCTGAGCTATATACCAAGCCCATTTAATCACTGTATTCTGAGACAGGGTCTTGCTCAGTTATCTGAGCTTGCTGTGAACTTGGGATCCTCTTGCCTCAGCCTCCTGAATAGCCAGGATCAGAGGTGTAAGCTACTCTGCCTAGCTCAATTTTGTTTTTTTGTTTTTGCTTTTTAATGTGGTACTGGGTGCCATCACACTGAGCTACCTCCCCTTTTTAATATTTTTAAATTATAAAAATTTTTAAAAATGTATTTTATTTTAGTTTTTGTTTTTTTTTGTTTTTTTTTTTTTTGTTTATTTTTGAGACAGGTTCTCACTATGTAGTTCAGACTGGCTTGGAACTCACTATGCAGCCCAGGCTGGTCTTAAACTCACAGCGATCCTGTTGCCTCAGCCTCCCTAGAGCTGGGATTATACCCGTGTGCTTATTTTTTATTTTTATGGTGAGACAGTGTCTTAGCTGTCACTAAATTGCCCAGCCTGGGTTCCAACTTGGATCCTCCCAGGGCTGGGATCACAGGTATGTGCCACGACACCTGGCTTTTGCCTTTCTTTTACCAAACATTTGGCCATTGTAGGCTCTTTGCATTTCCATGTAAATCTTAGAAGCAGCCAGTTTCTTTTAAAATGTCTGCTGAAAATTGGACCTGGATTATGTTGAATCTAAAGACCAATTTGGGAGGCATTTTGACTGTAGTGGGTTTCTGATCCACTCCCCTCTCTCTGTTTTTGTTTTTTATTTCTTCATTGCAGAGGTCTTACACATCTTTTCTTAGGTTTATTCCTAGGTATTGGGCATTATGCTATTTAACATAGGGGTTGTTTTGTGATTTCGTTTTCCTTTTCTTTATACATTAATTTTTGCATATTGGTTTTGTACCCTGCAATCTTGTTGCACTTGTTAGGTCCAGATGTTTGTTGTGGTGGCTTGTAACTGTGAGGTGGTGTGAACTTCCATCGCGCAGATGGTAAAGGGCCCGGTCCAGGGGGAGGGGTGTGAGGATTTACTCGGATAGGGTGTACGGTGGCTGGGCCCCACCGGAAACTCATTAAAACTGGGTCTCTGCGCTGAGGACATTTCAGAATTCCTCGGGAAGGTTCCCAAACGTGCGCGCGAACTCCTGATTTAGGGTGCTCCGGGTGGGAAGCCGGCCCGAGGCGAAGCGAACACAGCGCCCTCCGCGGGCCGCCCTCCGTCCCCGCGATCACACGCGGTCCGCGTCCGGCTGACACCTTCCAGGTACAAGGAAATTAAAGAGCAGCTGAGGGAGCTGGACCGCATCACGGAGCAGACGCTCTTCGACCTGTACAAATACAACGCCTCCAGCACCCTCCTGGCCGGTGCCCGCAGCCGGCGCGACCTTGGGGAGACCCTGCTGTACCCGCTGCAGCGAATCCCGGTCCCTCCCAGGCCCGGC